AATTTCATAGAGCATATTATACTTGGCCTTTTGGATTTTTTGTACACTAATATTATTACTTACATGACATATATTTTCCAATTTAGTGGATCCACTTTCTGTGTTCCGTTCATTGAAATAAAAGTTCTTTATAAGGTTCACAATTTCTTTAGTATAGCCATATTGACTTTTAAACAATTTGTGGATTTCATCAGTATTGTTTATAATTTTCATGATTTTACGATCTAAAAATAAAAATAATACAATAAATATTGAGTTCATTTAATAGCCACAAAAAATTACTTCTTTATACTGAATTATATACCKATAGACAACAATGTACAACTGTTACTTTTAAGAAGTTATAGATAATTTTACTTTTCTTAATATGTAGAAATTCATATAGTGAGTTAGTACTTAAACTACTAATTACATAACATATATAATTTATAAAAGCATCAATATAAATTGTAAATTGTTAYGATTTTTCAATTTTAATACAAAATTTTGACCATTCAAAATATAATTTACCTCCAAAAGCTAACAGTCCTTCCATGTTGTTGATTCCAATTATTATAGGTACTGTTGATGCAGTTTTTAMTAAAATGTCAGGATGAGCAGGTAAAAATTTCTCACTAACCATTTCATTTTCAACAGATGGRACAAAATCATAATTTGGATTTGTCTTTGCCTTTTAAAATATATTTTATTATTACTTATACAATTAAATTACATACATAAGTAAACATTTGAAAATAAATCAAGTAAATATGTTTTGAAATTTTTGTTTTTAGTTTTTAGATCATTATCTTCAATATACACAATTTCAAAAATTATACTATTCATGACTTTGAAGACAAACTACATCAGACTTTCAGACTTAACTATTGAATATATTTCAAATATTATGCTCCTGTCTCAACTACATACATGGAACGCAATTTATCCAAATTTAAAAAGAAATGCTATTCTTGGTTAACAGGAGAAAATTTACTTTTGAGAATTTAAAGAATTAATTATCCAATGTAATGCCCAATTCCTAGGTATGTTTTGAAATCTTTTAATACTTGCTACTGAGTTTTAATAAACACTCATGTACATTTTTTTTATATTAACAAACAATTTAACACAAGTTCACAAAGCTTAATTATAAGAATATATTGTTATTATTATTATTTGTTTTATTTTTAATAAGTAAACTGAGTTTTAATAAAGAATTTTATTGATGCATATTTTTAATTTTTTTTTTTTTTACAATAAACACATTTTCTTTCTACTTATTACTTAAATACCTAGTTAATAAATAAATCACTTTTAGAAAAAGGAACTAGTAGCAATTTAAATATGACATAATTTAAAAAAATAAATTTACTTAGTTTTTCTAATTTTATTATTGCATTAAAATAATTGTATATAGCATCTAAAACACAATTTATATATAATTTAAGCTAATTTTTTCAATTTAATTAAACTTTTTCTAAATGTTTTTCATTATTTAAAAACGTTTTTAATCTGTGCTTCTTTAAGCATACCTACATCAATAGTAATCGATTTGACAATATCAATGGCTGATATATTGAGTAAGTATTGAACAACTACTTTAGGGTCATATTCTTCACAACCCAAATTTTTGGCCAACTTATAAGCTGATTCTATATGTTTGTGATTCAAAGCCCATGGATTAAACATACATCCACTTTGCATAATGGCTTTATTGAATAATCCTAGTTAAAAAATAAAATAAAAAAGTTTTAAATAATTTAAATTGTAGAATTTACTACCATTAATTTACAGAAAAATTGAAAATTTAGTACATAATTTCTAACTGTAACAATTTACATAAAACATGATATTGAAACTCAACCTGTGGATTGTGGAGACAAAATGTGACAATGAACAGA